CTCCCTCCTGCCATCCAGCACCAGCTCTGCCTCCATGTCCGCCTCCCCTGCGGGGGTGGCTGGGCGCCCACCCCAGCCCCGGTGAGCATCACCCCAGGGGCGGGGGGCAGGTTGGGGGGCTGGGGACTGAGACCCAAGGTGGGGGTTGGTGGAGAGAGGCGCCGGGGTTTGGTGGGCAGAGGGACATGCGCGTGTAAACCCCAGGCCGTCCCTCCGTCCTAGCAGGAACCCGGTCAGCCGCAGTTTTGCTCCACGCTGCCCCATGCCAGTGGGACACGGCTCCGGGGGAGCGAGGTGTGAGTAGGAAAGCTGCCATCCTGTCCCTTCTTCCTCCGTGGACGAGTTCCCAGCATCACCCATAAGATAAATCTTCCTTCCTTTGACCCCAGGTCCTTCGGGGGGAAAGCCCAGCCTGGGGACGAGTTGTACGCGCCTGTGCCAGGAGCACGTCCTGGGCGTTCAGGTAAGAGGGTGCAAACTAAAACCCAGACAACCTGCTTGAGCCATACAGCCAAATTCTGCTGGAGCCAATGCTTTGGCACGGTCTGGTACCGGACTCCTGCCTATTTGTCCTTCCTCCCCGGAGGCACAGGAGCGGCCCCGGCTGACAGCCCTGCGCTGGAGCCCCACAACCCACATGGCTGCCTGGACACCTCAGGGGAGGATGAGGATGGTCCCAGCATGGCTCCAGGGTGTCGCAGTAAGCCCCATGCTAACAGGTGCGTGGGCGAGGGGGAGGCACCCCAATACAGCTCCTTGCACCCAAATACCCTTGCAGTAGCAGCAAATGTAATGCAGCAAGTGGCATCGCCCTGGAGACTTCTCGTGGTTAAAGGTGAAAATCCAGAGATTTTAAAAGACGTGTAACTCTGGGAAGCGCATTTGGGGTAATTCAAGCCAGAATTTGGGGAGGGTTCGGTAACGATGCAATAGGGGAGAGTTTGTCCCACGGATGCTCTCCATCACCTCCACATGAGCCGTCTCTGCTTCGCTCCCAGCAACCTGACCACCACCCGCCCGTGCCCAGCCCCGCCGCACCACGGCAGCCTCCGGCCAAGTAAGTACCAAACACAACCAGAGCTTCGCTTCCCCAGCGAGCTGAGGGCTGCGGTTCTCACGCTGCGTTTCGCAGGGCATCGTGACCGCCAACTGAGGCCCCCGAAGCGGTAGGTGATGCGCTGGAGGAGCAGGCAAGGGAGTGGATGGGTGTTCTGGGCTCC